TCCTTGTTCCCACCCCATGGAGAAGCTCATCACTAGGACAGGGAAGGTCCTATAATCACCTGCTGCAGTGAGTTTCTGATACTTTCAAAATGGAACCAAGACAGTGAGAAACATGATGAAACAAAACAAGAGGTAAAAGCTGTGCAGCTCCCTTCTGCACTACTCCAGTTCTTCACATTCAGGTGCCAACCCTCCCCATGAAGCCCATGATTCAGAGGGGGCTGACCTCCCCATGCCCCAGCCCTCACGGAAGATCCTGGTCAAGGCCAATCAGCACAATCATTCCTCTGGTCACTATTCTTTGGCCCAGTGGGGAGCAAATCATCTACACAGACTCTATCAGTCTTTTCTCCCTGCGGGTGGGGACACAGGCTCTCTCCCTCTCACAGCTCTTCCCTTGCCAAATGTGGACCAAGAAGTATGCTGACCCTAGTTACTAACGGCAACCAGAAGGAATCCAAACTTAAAAAAAAAAAAAAATCAATACTCTGAGAAATGTAGAACCAAGAGTACCAATTACAGAAACATGGCCTACTTAGTTATGAGGTCATTTCATTCCTTACTAAGAGGAAAGACAGTATTTTGACCAATAGCACAAATTCTGAAGCCGAACTGCCCAGGCTTGAACCTGGCACTGCCACTTACTGGCCATTACACCTTGTACAAGTTACTTAGCTTCTTTAAGCCTCAGTTTATAAAATAGAAATAGTAATGGTTCCAACCTCATAGGGTTATTATGATGATTAAATGAACTGATATGCACAGACACCTACACATACAAGGGAACTTCAAAACATTTGTGGAGAAAAAGTGAAATTAAAGTACAAGCTTATTTGGATGCAAAAATTTTGAAATCCATGCCCAGTTTTTTTCATAATACACATTTTCCATGAACTTTTAGAATATCCCTGGTATGTTCACATATCAAGCACTTCCTGGAACACAGGAAGCATACACAAGCGATGGCTGGTCTTGTCTGAGGCAGGGCTTCTGTGATTTACAGCAAAAAGCAGCCTACTTGATACAGGAGGAGGGACAGGGTAAGTATTAGAAGACTTCTCCAAGGAATGGAGAGGCAACCTGGGAAGAGGTAAATGAATTAGAAACAACCTACCACTCTGAATCAGTCTCAAAATAATTAATCATCTCTTACCCATTATATATGCAAAATGTAAAACATGTGTTGGAGCTAGCAGGTGGTATAGGGGTTAAGGCACTGGACTGCCACATGGCCAACTGCAGTTCCAGTCCCAGACCTGGCAGTTTCCTTTCTCACATTCTCTCCCTCTCTCATATCTCTCTCTCTCTCTCTCTAGTAAGTGCATATACCCTATAGCAAATTTAAAAAAAAAAAAAAAAAGCAAGAATGATAAATAAAATTAAATAAATTATTATTTTTTTAAAATACATGTTGAGACCAGCAGTTGGCATAATGGCTATGTCACTGGACTCCCACGTAGTTGACGGCAGTTTGAGTCCTGGACCCAATGGCTTAAACTCACACCGGGCGTATGTGCAAGATCCCAGGAGGAGAATGGAGGAGAAGGCATTGCAGCATGGCCATCCCCCCTGGGAGATGATTTCTCACTTTCTGTCTCTCTGTCTTTCTGTCTTTCTGGTAAGCACACGCACCCTATAGCAAAAACCTCTCAAAAAAAAAAAAAAATACATGTTAATATTAAGTGCTGGTGATATTGTAGGAAAATGAGCATTGTCATGTGGTGTTGATTGGTATGTAAATTATTGTAATAACATATTGGAAGGCAAAGTGACAGAATCTATGTTATGGACTACATGTCTATGTTCTCCTAGAATTCATATGTTAAGGGATCAGCGGATGGCATAATGGTTACATTGTTAGACTCCCACACAGTCATGGTTCAGATCCTAGACCTGGAGGCTGAAAAAGCTCATGCCAGGGTGGGTGTGCATGCATACCCCAAATCTCAAGAGAATGGAGGAGAAGGGATTGCAACACAGCCATCCTACCTGGGGGGTGGTTTTTTGCTTTCTGTCTCTCCAGTGAGTGCATGCACCCTGTAACAAAAATCTCTCTAAAAACAAAAGAATTCATCTGTTGAAACCTTAACCCATACCGGGAGAGTATAAAGAGATAGGCCTTTGGGAGGTAACTAGGTTTACCTGAGGTCACAAGGTGGAACCCTCACTACGGGAATAGTGTTCTAATAAGAAAAGAGACTACAGCTCACCCTCTCAAGTGAAGACACAAGATGACAGACATCGGCAAACCAGGAAGAGCACCCTCACCAGACACTGGATCTACCAGTGCCACATCTGGATTTCCCAGCCTTCAGACTATGAGAAATTAATGTTTGTTGTTTAAGCCACCCAGTCTATGATATTTTTGCTATAGCATCCCAAACTAAGATGCTATGTAAACTAAACATACACATGTCCTGAGAACCAGCCACATTAACATTTTTTTAATTGAGATGTTTTTCACATACCACAAAATCTGCCCTTTGAGGAGTACAAATTAGTGAGGTTTAGTACAGTCACAGAATTGTGCAACACCAATTCCAGAACATTTGCATTGCCTTGAAATTAAAAAATAAATAAATAATAATAATAAAAAAATTTTGTACCTATTAGCAGTCACAGTCTTCTCCCACTCTAACCCATGGCAACCCTAATCTACTTCTGTCTGTATGAATTCTCCCTTTCTGGATAGTTCAAATAAATGGACCTATACAATATATGGCCTTTTGTAACTGGATTCTTGCATTTGGCATAGTATTTTCTTTTATTATTATTTTTTTAATCTTGTCAGAAGGCACGTATGCTTGCTGGAGAGAGATGGGATGGGAGGAGAAAGCACACTCCTGGGGCATGGCCACACCACAATCCTTTCTCCTCCATCTCTCTCCTTTCGGTATTTTGGGAATGCACACAAACACATGGAATTTTTCTCAAGCCACTGGGTCTGGGACTCAAACCACACTGCCAGTCATGTGGAATCCAGCTGCCTTAACCACCACACCCTGAACTAGTCCAAGCATAATATTTTCAAGGTCTGTTCATATTGTACCACAAATCAGCACTCCACTCCTTTTTATGGCTGAACAGTATTCCATTTTACGGATATACTACATCTGTTTATGTATTCATCAGTGGGTGAACACTAGCCTGTTTCCACATTCTGCCTATTGTGAATAATACTGCTATGAACAATTCTGTACAAGTTTTTATGTGAACATATGTTTCCATTTCTCTTGCATATAAACTTAGGAATAAAATTACTGAGTCAAATGGTAACTCCATTTAATTTTTTGAGGTGCCGACAAACTGTTTTCCACAGCGGCTGCCCCATATTACATTCACATCAATGTTGTTAAAAAGCATCAATTACAGGGCTGGCAGATGGCATGTTGGTTAAAAGCAATGGACTCCCACATAACTAACCACGGTTTGGGTCCCAGCTTACTTTCTCACTTTCCCTCTATCTCTCTCTCTCACACTCTGTCCTTCTCTGGTCAAATTAAAAATAAGAACATTAATAAATAAAGTTAAATTAAAAAAAATCTTAAAAAAAAAACACCAATTTCTCCACACCTGCACCAACACTTGTTATTATATGTGTTTTTTATTACTGTCATCCTAGTAGGTGCGAGGTGATATCTTATTGTGGTTTTGATTTGCATTTCCCTAATGACTAATGGTGCTGAACAGCTTTGTGTGTGTGTGCTTTTTGACCATTTGTATATCCTCTTTGGATTTTTTAATCAAGTTGTCTTTTAATTACTGAGTAGTAGTAGTCCTCTACATATTCTATACACTATACCTTATCAAATATATACTTCGCAAATATTTTCTCCCATTCTCTAGGTTGTCTTTTCACCTTTTTAACTGTCCATTGGTTCTCCTTTGAAGCACAAAAAGTTTTTAAGTTTGATGAGGTTAATTTTATCTAATTCTTCCTTTGTTGCTTGGGCTTTTGGTGTCATATCAAAGAAATCATTGCCTAATCCAAGATTATAATGATTTACATATTTTTTCCCCTAAGTATTCCATAGTTTCAACTCTTTCATTCAGATCTTTGAGTTCATTTTGAGTTCATTTTTCTCACTGATATGAGATAGGAAGCCAATTTCATTTTTTTGTATGTTAATATCCAGTTGTCCCAGCGCCATTGGTTGAAAAGAATGTTCTTTTCTCATTATATTGTTTCTAAAATAACTTTTTAAATCATATCTTAAATATTTCATGACTTAACTGTGGTGACCTAACTGTACATGTTTTTCAAAATTCATAGCACAGTACACTAAGAAAACTACATTTTATCATATGTAAATAATATGTCAATAAACCTACCATTTAAAAATTCAACTTAGAGAAACACTCACATAGAGTCATATTCAAAGAACATATGCTTTGTGAACATTGTACTCTTGTTCATAATAAAAAGAAAAGGATACCATCTGAATGTCTATTAAAAAAGTAGTTAAATAAAATACAACACAATCACAGAACTGAATTCTATGCAACAGTTCAAAGGAAAAAGCTAGATTTATATATATATATGTATATATAATGGATAAAGCCCAGAAACATTCTGTCAAATGAAAAAGAGACACACAATAATTAACACAGTATGAAGTCATCTATATAAAAAAGATATACAAAACCATGCTGTACAAGCTCTATGAGTACTTATTAAGTATCTAAAGGTATCTATTAATAGTCTGGAATAATATTCAGCAAACTGATAACATTCATAACACTCATTACCTCCGAAGGGGGAGAAAAGACACCAGGATTGGGAGGAGTGGTCAGAGAAGCGATGAACTCTGCCATTTTCTCCCAAAGACAAATATATTAATTAATTACTTGTGTGATTAAAAACTGAATAATGTGACATTTGTGTGAGTTGTAAACAGAGGTTATGAGATTTTTAATATATGTGCTCATATGTGCATCGCTGAACCCAGCACACACACACACACACACACACACATACACACACACACAGGCGATCTTACCAGTTTGGATTTTCCACACTTTCCCGGAAGACAGACTCTTCCTTCATGGATGCATACTGTGTCCATGTAAGGCAGTGACTGCGGATGGCCATGTTTCTTTCCTGAGGATTGAGCCATGATTCCTCTTCTAACTGGATATTAGGTACCTTTAAAATGCTCACCTGTCCAACAGAGGGAGAAAGACTTTCTCAATTTAGAAAGAGCAGGTTACACATAGACTGTACCCGGAGTTACTTTCGGTCTTGGATAATTAAGAGGACAAGTAGTCCTGATATATGGATGACAGCCCACCAATGGCTGTAAGTCTTTGATAATAACCACACCGTGACCTTACCAAGTGCTAGTGAGGACATGCAAATGGCCCAGGATTTATGTAGGTTGTACAGTCCCTGTCCTGATTTCCCTAACTGCTAAACACTGGGAAAATTACCAGCCTCCTTCGTGTCTCCTCTAAGGCTGGTTATAGCCTCCTTAAATTGATGGATTCTAATCGGGCCCACTTACAGGCTCATGGTAACAGGTAAAATATTTTCTTCATTTTAAACTCTGCCCAATACCTAGAAATGTACGCTTTTCTAGGAGGAGAAGACATGGAAAACTACAAAGGCAGAACTGAACTAGTCAGAAGTATTCTTAAATTATTTAAGAATTGAGATACAAGACAAAGTTGAATGCCTTTTTAAATAATAGATTCAAAGTGCGTATACAGGGCAAAGGCAGGGTGCAGACTGTGGAAAAAGCCAGTAATAATTTGCTGCTACAGTAAAACACGTTTTACCATCTGGAAAATAAAAAAGAAGTTCATTTTCATCATCATTTCAGCTTTCTTTCACTAAAAAGTGTGGCAGTCCTTTAATCTACAATAAGGAGGTGACGGACGGTGCCATCATTCTACATACAGCCCAGCAACGTCACTCGAAAGCTGATGGGGAGGAGTCAAATCAAGTTCTACGTCACACACAGAATCTCTTCTGGGTGAAAACAACCATCTGAGACATTTTTTTAAAGCATGTATCAAGGTGCTCTCCTCTTACTTCCTAATAATTACAAAAAAGACTCCTGGAGGAGCCAGTAGGTGGCATAGTGGTTGAGACATTAGATTCCCACATGGCTGACCATGGTTCAAGTCCCAACCTGGCAGCTTGCTTTCTCACTCTCCATCTCTCTCTTTCTCTCTGTTACCCTTTGATCAAAATTGAAGACTAGCAATAATAAATAAAATTAAAAATAAATAATTCTTCAAAAAAAAAAAAAAAAAAGACTTGTCAAAAATCTCTCCAAGATTCAAGCAATGGGATTAAAAACTTCCACTCACCTTTTTCCCAGAATCACCAGAGTGCTTAGGGTTTCAAAGAGAGAAAACAATGTGCTATCATAACAATTTCATCATCGGCAATATGACTTTACAGAAACACACACAAAAGACCGAGAGCACTAAGAACACTATACATTCAGAGTAACTGTTATCTTTGACACTGAGAATTAGACCATTCTAATTTGTCTTCTTTACTAAAGATCAGACTAAATATTTACACTAAGTCTACTCCTGATCATTCTTAACTAAGAGTCCTTTTTAACCATGAACAGACTGAAAAACAGTTATGTCACACAAAATGCTGAAAGTATCTTTAAAATAGCTGTAGAACATCGCTGTGTACATTAAGAGTGCTTCACAAAACAGAAGAACAGGGACAAATCGTCTTCTGAGGCAGCTGCCAGAACTAAGGTTAGATATGAACACACTTTGTTCCTCTCAAGGGTTATGAGGTAGAAGTAGGAAAGTTCTAACGTTCTTTTATATCAGAAAATATGGTCTCCATGACATAAAAAATTACTCAGTGCGGGGGCTAGCAGGTGGTATGGTGGTTAGGGCACTGGACTACCACAGGGCCAACCAAAGATTGAGTACCGAGAGAAGAATGGAGGACAAGGGATTGCAATACAGCCATCCCTTCTGTGGGGTGATGTCGCATTTCCCTCTCTGTCTTGGTCTGTCTCTCTTCAGCGAGCACACGTGCCCTACAGCAAAAAACTAACAACAACAACAACAAAAATCACTCAATGCCACCCAAATTCATTTACCTTCCTTAAAATTTCTGGAACCACATTCTGACAGATTGCAATCCTCTTTCTATAGATGACCCCTGTTGATTCATCTAGGAAAAGAACAATTTTACACTCAAAAAATATTTTAAAAAATCTTCTCCTCTTAATGTCAATAAAGCTTTTCATCAATCTCAATTTTCCACATCTAGAATTCCTAGAAAAGAATGTTTAACTCTAAACTCAGTTTCCCTGGCCACTATTCTAAGCCAAATCACAGATGTTCCTTATCTATGATCAAGGAATAAAACAGCAAGTCACAATATACATTTGAAAATCAAGCATGAAAGAATCACAAATTATTCACTGTTCAAGAATATCAATGCTAAAGAAAAAAAAAAAAAGAAGAAGAAAGAAAGAAAAGAATATCAATGTTAGTATCCCAAAGCAATAGCCAGTGAGCCTTCTGCTCAACTCTAAAGAGACTGTTTCAACAAAGATGGAGAATCTGATTCTGCCACCTTCTGTACCAAACATTCAAGAACAGATTTCTAGCTATAAAATTTAAACCCATAATTAATTAGTTATTTAATAACATTTTTCTCTCATAAGGGAGTAGGACCCCTGTCAGTGGGGTACTTTTGATTTAAGGCAAGTTTCTGGAATAGAACCAGGGGATGTAAAAAACACAATAAATGTGATTTTAAAATAAGAGCTATGGGCCAACAGGTGGTGTGATGGTAAAGGTGCTGGACTCCCCCATAGCTGACCAAGGTTTGGGTCTCAGACCGGGTTGCTTGAAAATTACACCAGGCACATATGCATGCATGCCCAAAATTCCAGGAGAAGAATGGAGAAGGGATTGTGACCACACCCCTGGCGGTTGATTGTTCACTTTCCTTCTCACTGTCTTTGTCTGTCTCTCTCCAGCAAGTGTATGCACTCGATGGCAAAAGTAAAATAAAATAAAATAAATAAAATAAAATAAAATAAAATAAAATAAAAGTTTTACGTTTCCAAGCACAGACAGGGTCTCAGAGTCTTGTAAGGAAACAATAGAACCTCATGATTTCTAGGAGAGCTGAAGAGCACGTTAGACCTGGGCCTCAGTATCTTTCAAGGTTTGACCATCAACTATGGGCATTGTCATATGTTTCTGCATCACCCACTTCTAAAGTTCAAACAGTGGAAGTGCTTTCTCTGGGGAGAGGGATGACAAAGAACATTTAGAAACTCCTATGCTCTAGCCCCAAGGTAGTTAAACCTTCTGTAAAGGACTAGATGGTAAATAATTTACGTTTATGTGGGCCATAAAGTCTGTCACAACTACTCAACTCTGCTATTGTAGTACTGAACCCATAGATAACACGCAAACAAATGGGAGACAATGTTCCAATAAAACTTTATTTATTAAAACAGGAAACATGAGCCAAAGCTTGCCAACACCTGTTCTAGTCAACTGAAACGCATTGTCAAGTACAGTTATGACTCTATAATCTAATCACTTTATGGTCACAACTCATACACATGCTATTAACCACATCTATTTTACCATCTACAAAATGATACATGAGCATATTATAGGGATACAGCCATGTGACCTTGGGCAAGTTATTTAACCCCTCTGTATTTCAGCCTCTTCATTCATTAAATAGGAGTAATCTAATGCTTAGCCCTTACATTGTCCTGAAGATTAAATGAGTTAATAAAAGCAAGAGTGTCCGGCACATATTAAGTGCCCCAAAATGTTAGCTGTGATAATTATATGTAGTTGAGGATTGTTGTCAACTATTAATTTAGAAAGTAACAAGCACATATTAGGCAGACCTTCTATTGCTGCACATGCTGGTGTTCTAAGTGCCTTTTTATCAGTCACCTCAGTATAAAAATCACCAGCTTCAAACTGAACAGGCCACATATATGCACACATGTGCACACAGACATTTACAAAAATCAGTATCGCTTAATGGTCATTGATAAAGTGTGGGGAGAGTCAGAACTTACCTCTTTTTTCCTCCACGATTTTTACAGAGATGACATTTTTATCCATGGGGTTGGGGTACTAAATGAAAACATACAAAGAAAAATTACCATGTATCTGCTACCAAAGTAAATTATTTCCTAGTAACCATGGCTATTTGCAGGATCAGTAAATATTTTCCAAGCAACCTTTAAGTAAATACCAGTTTTCAATCAAGGATCTTAATTTTACCATTTGGGCATAGATAGTCCAAATAAGTGAGATGCCATCATTATCTAAACTTATATGAATCTAAGAAAAACCTTCTTTAGATTCAACCTAACCCTGGCTGAAAAGGGAGGATGGGGTTAGGCTAATTAATAGATAATACTATTAACATTATTAACATAAATCAAGAGTATTATTTGGGCCGTCACCATGCTAAATTCTATACCTGCATGATCTCATCTAAATCCAACAGCCTTTCTGTTGTGACTGGGTTATGCGATAACAGTATCCTTATTTTTCAGAAGTGGATCAGAAATGGAAATGTAATAAAGACTAGGCTGTTAGGGTCGCCCTGCTGGCTTCTGGGAGCAGGGAGAGGGCAGGACATTAAATCAGGCTTGTTTACTACAGGGTGAATTCCTTCACTACCTTATGATATTGTCTGATAGCTGGGTTAGCATTCAGAAGGATAATCATACAAGTACCCTACCAATGCCAGCATATAGCAGGTGCTCAATAAATAATTTGTTGATTAAATTCTCTTGAAAGGCAATTTTAATGTGACGAGATTGATAACAGCTGCCATTTTTTTCCTAGGCAATTTTATACATTATCTCAGTCAATTCACAAACATATTTCATAAGCTATGTGTTATTTTTTTCTAACTTATATATGAGAAATAAGATAAATTAAGTAATTTGCTCAAAATTACCTAGCCAAAAAGTCATGTCTGGGATAATGTATTTACCCCCAGATACTTTCTATCTCCCTGAAAGCATACGCACCTACCAACCTACCATCAAATCCCTTAGAGTTCATTTAGCCCGACCCTTTCCATGATTCAAATGTGAGAAGAAGAAGTTGAGAGCAGTGAGTTCCTAAGGCTCCAGGACAAGGTGGCTGCTGACCTGAGCCTACTGAATTCCCTTGGGCTCTTTCCCCAAGGTTTAGTATTGCTTTATCACAAGATCAACTCTGAAAAGAAATTTAGAGAGAAGCCTTGTCTGGGAGAGCGTAAAGAGCTAAGCAGGAGGTGAGAGCAGTGACAGGCGAGGGGTGGGAGAAGAGGGCCCTTCACTGAGGAACCTGAGCTTTCAGAGTTGTGAACCCTGGGAAGTAGAACACAAAACTCCATACACATGGGTCTTCTCCACCCCACAGCAGTTGCAAGCTTATGTGTATGTGTGTGTGTGTGTGTGTGTGTGTGTGTGTGTGTGTGTGTAAGAAACTGGCCGATGCACTGATTTTCAAGGAAAAGGGTCCACACTTTTAAAGATTCTCTGTGGCCCCCAAAGACTCTAGATTACAATGGAGGCCCTGTGAGGCCAGGGATGCTGCCTATTTCAGATACTCCTGTATCTGCACCAACTAGCATGGTGCCTGACACACAGTAGACACCCAGTAAATATTTGCTGAGTGAATAAATGATTTAGAATATAAACCTGGTTGGCCTCAGCCATCAATTTAGAAGGCGAGGCTCCCTTCGTCCAAGAAACCATCAGTGAAGAACACAGCGGGCTCAGTGGTCAGTCTTGTTCCATGTTGGTGAAGTCCGTCATTCACAATCCCTGTCTGGCAACTTCAAGTTTGATAACCAGTGAAAATGGACATTTTAAAAATACATGCCTGTATGCATTCATTTGACCCCTAGAAAGAAATGCTCAAAATTACAATGACTGCTTCCTTGATGTCTGTCCCTTCAAAAACGTGTGTCCGTTGCAGAGGGTCAGGGTGGGATCATCTGTTCCTCCACAAGGAGACTTCCACTCTCATGGGATCTCGACACAAGGAGAACCTCAGGACTCAAACGCAGGTCCTCTGTGTACGTATAAATCATAACTACTACAGGAAAGTAAAATGAGAGTACTTCCTTTACTGCAGTTCTGGTCCATTCATTGTATCCATAAACCATCCTGGCTGAATATTGTAACTATATGGTGAATCGTAGGACAACCACTACACTAAATTATGAAAGAGCTTGGAGGGAACCAGCAGTTAGTGTAATGGCTATGTCGCTGGACTCCCACATAGTCAACCGCAGTTCGCGTCCCGGACCCGGTGGCTTAAAACTCACGCTGGGCGCGTGTGCGTGCGTGCCCAAGATCCCAGGAGGAGAATGGAGGAGAAGGGACTGCGGCGTGACCATCCCCCCTGGGGGGTTGATTTCTCGCTTTCTGTCTCTATGTCTCTCTGTCTGTCTAGCAAGTGCACGTGCCCTATAGCGAAAACCTCTCCAAAAAAAAAAAAAAAAAAAGAAAGAAAGAAAAAAAAGAGCTTGGAAATGTAACCAGCAGAGAAGCACAGTGATAGAATTTTCAAGTTCTGATTACTTCTCTAAATTACTGATAAAATTCCCAAAGATGATCAACTTCAAAACTTCAAACTCTAACATAATTTTGATTTTTTCTTATTAAGACAAAAAGCACTGAGTTAAATAATAGTGAAGGTTCTCTAGTTATTCTTCATTTATGGTTTTTGAGTACCCACCATGCCAGGCACTCTTTCAGGCACTGAAGATATACCAAATAAACAAACAAAATTATAGCCTCTGGTGGAGTTGACAAATTAGTTGGAGAAACAAGCAAATAAATAAGTAAACACATTATGTGTGCTCAAGAGAAAATAAATTCAACTGAAGGATAAAAGGTGGATGGGAAGGTTGTAAAGGGAAGCATTTTGAAAACTTAAGAGTCACCCGTTAGACAATGCTTGCAGACGTGAAAAGGTAAAATGGAAATGTTCCTAGCCAAATACGATTTACGCTAATAAACCATTGGCAGATTCAAGGTATTCTCCTTTACCACTGTTTTTAGAGTTGAATACACATGAACCTCAAGTTTCCATACAAGAATGGTGAAGGTAAATAGATGTTTATTTGCAATAGCTTAATACCATGGCGAGAAAGGCACGTATTTTAACATTTTTTAAATTAAAGATAAATTGAACTGAAACTCCCCCTACCTGGCATTACTTGAAATGATCGGATGCCATCTTGTGGTGAGTTGAATATTCATGTTTTAATCCATAAACACTCAAAAGTACAATAATAAGGGGCTGGGAAAGAGAAGGCAGTTCAGAAAACATAAAAAAAAAATCCTGGAGAGACAGGACACAGGGGGCCAGGTTTTTCTGGACACTTTTTCAAATACAGTATAACTGTGAAATTGAGCAAGCTAGACCAAAATCATACCTATCAAATATGTACTGGGCACCCACTGTGTCTGTGCAGGGTGCTATATTAGAGGCTGCCACACTCGCCATCTCATTTAGTCCTGCCCAAAACAAGAAAATCTATTAACAAGTATTAAGGTACAGAGTCTTTCTGATAAAAACATAATAGCGTTTAGCCTGCAGACAAGTAGGGTCGATTTCTCCAGTCTCCGTTCCACACTAGAGAGTCTTGTGCAAGCAAAGTGTTCTGAAGGCCCAGGTATCGCTAAACAAAAGCCCTCGCTTTCCTTGAATCCAGCTCAGTGTATCACAGCGTGCATAAGAATTATCCCACAGGGCTACACACATGTGCCATGTATGTGCACTTTATGAGTGATCTAAGAGATTTTTTTCAAGGTACGCTTATTTCGAACTTAATTTTTTTCACAGAATGTGTAAATTAACTTCTTTCCCTTTCCCCAAGATGTAAATCTACCGCAGATAACACTGTATATACGTTATGTACATAACTGTCTAACAAGAGCAAAATGTGTTCTTCTAAGGTTGTCATGTACCCTTGCTTTTATATATTTTTTACATATTAAAAGGTGAGGGGCCAGCAGGTGGTGTGGTAGTTAAGGCAATGGACTTCCACACAGCCAACTGCAGTTTGAGTCCCAGACCTGGTGGCTTGGAAATCATGCCAGGCAAGTGTGTAGGCATGCCCAAAATCCCAGGAGAAGGGATTGTGGCATGGCCATTCTCCCTGGGTGTGATTTCTCACTTTCATCTCACTGTCTCTCTCCAGTGAGCACATGGGCCTATGGCAAAAAAAAAAAACTTAACAAAAACAAAACAAACAAAAAAATAAAAAGTAAAAATAAGAGGCCCCAGTGTATGATGCTGAGGGGAAAAACAAAAGATACATGAAAACAAATGCATAACTATAAAAAGTGAGAGGCTGAGAAACTGTGTCCCTCAAATTACAGGAGTAGTATTCAATGTACTTGTGGGAGGAGCATCAGAGAGAAATGGCATTTACCTTTCTCATCTGCTGAGGGGAAATAAACAAAAAAACAAAAAACATGTTTTCAGAAAATTGACTCTTAAGAGTAAAGAGTTATTAAAATATCACTTTCCCACTTCCAGTTTTCAGAAGTCAATGCCTACTCTGCATGCTATCTTCTCCCTCTCAAAAGGGCCAATGACCTCACAGGAGTCACCATCTACCATCTTTCAAATGGGGTTATCCGAGAGGGCACGAGGAAGCAGGTGAGCTGACAGACCTGTTTGATTAGTCCTACAAGAAGGTCATGCGGCCCTAAAATAAGTCTGGTATATTAACGTATCTGTTTTGCAAGTATGAAGGGAATCTGCTACCCGACTGCTTCCAAACACTTCCATGCAAAGAAATGGGGCTGCTGGAAAGAAATGTGGTGTTGAGCTGCCCAAAGGAAGTACCACGGGCTGTGCCAGATTCCTTTCATGAGTGCCACACGGTAGTCTAGCTCAGAAAACGCAAAGCTGACTTTATAGCAAGATCAAACGAGTCATTGAGTAGTCAAACTTTTTTTTTTTGGAGAGGTTTTTTTGCTATAGGGTGCGTGCGCTCGCCAGACAGAGAGAGACACAGAGACGGAAAGCGAGAAATCAGCCCCCCAGGGGGGATGGTCACGCCGCAATCCCTTCTCCATTCTCCTCTCGGGATCTTGGGCACGCACACACATGCGCCCAGCGTGAGTTTTAAGCCACCGGGTCCGGGACGCGAACCGTGGTCAACTACGTGCGAGTCCAGCGACATAGCCATTACGCTAACTGCTGGTCCCGAGTAGTCAAACTTTTAATGATCAAGTACTGAACGTTTAAGTCAACAGATAGTTTGAATGGCAGTTCGTAAGTCTTTCAGGCCAACAGGATGATAAAGTAGAAAGAACAAAAAGACAAGGAGCCCAGACATCCAGACTACGATGATGCCATCTGTGAAACCAGGCCAATGAACCCCCACATGATCCTCAAAAGTCCTCCTGGCCAGAACAAGCTATGATTCTAACCAGGGAACAACCAACATCACACCAGCCTGCCTTTCAAAAAATATCCCAAGAATCAGCAATGGCAGAGGGAAGTTTTTGAAAAGAAATGTATCATTGTAACACAAGAAAATCTTATCTTAATATTAAATACATACATATACCCGATGCATTTAGAGACACAATTGAAATCTACAAAATAACTGACCAGCGCTCTTCATAAACACCATGGCCCAGAAAGACAAAGACTCAGAAACTAGCCCACCCTGGAGGAGACTGACGACACTAAATGCAATATGGGATCCTGGATTGGATCATAGGCTGGAGAAAGGATATTAATGAATAATTACAAATCCTTAGTAAGATCTGTAGGTTTGTACTGTATCAATGTTAACTTGCTGGTTGTAAAAATTATTCTGTAGTTTGAACTACTAGGAAAAAGGTAAAGGTAAATTATTTCTTTTGCAATATTTTCTAAGTCCAATTACTTCTAAATGAAATGTTAAAAAATAAAAAACAAAATTAAAATAGAGAAACAAAATATCAAAAAACAGAATTTTAGAGTTCAAGAAGTCTGAATTTGAAGGCCATCTGTGAGAGCCCTGAGCAAGTGACTTTCATCAGCTCAATTTCTTCATCTGTAAAATGAGAATAAATACTCCCTTCAAAGTTGTTACAGGCATTAAAAGAAGCAATTTTATATAAAGTATAATGCCTGGCACTGTGGGGGTAGCCAATACATGATGGCTGATTTTGCTAGTAAAGAATGAATCACAGGGCAGCCAGTGGTGTAGTGGTTGAGGCAGCTGGATGCCACATGGCCAATGGTACAGTTTTAGTCTCAGACCTGGCAGCTTAAAAAACACACTGGGTACATGTGCATATGTGCCCGAATTCCTCAGAGGAGAATGGAGGAGAAGGGACTGCAGTGAGGCCTAACCCCTGGAGGTGCTTTCTCACTTTCTCTCTCTCTTTTCTACGGTGAGTGCACGCACCCTACAGCAAACAATCCACACTTCTGATAAATTAAGTTTCAAGACTCTGGTTTTTCACCTTGCAGTTTACATAATATAGCACTAAGGATACCATAAGAATCGATTTGCAATCCAAAAATATTTAAATGATGATTAAAAATTACTAGACTATTTCTAGTAATTTAGTGATTTTTCTAGATGACTAAAACTAATTAAAATAGAGACACAGAATTTTAGGATTCAAGAGATTTTACTGATATTACTAGTCTACGAAAATCAGAAACATTGTCTCATAAGCTCATGCTTTACCAATTCAGAATTTGTATAAGATACAAGAAGAACTCCCTGGCATTAGAGAAAATGCTGCTTGGGAGATGTGGGAGTACTAGAGAGAATATTAACTTGTTAAAAAAAAAAAAAAAAAAGGCAATGAGGACCGCACACTGGTGCTATGGTAAGACACTATACCCTGTAAGGCTGATCCAATGGGGAGGTTCCAGAGTTTGCATCTGGAGACCTTGCTGAGCATGCTGGGTACATGGGTGCCGAAGATCCATGGCTAGCTGAGGTTGGTGGTGAACTGCAGCATCAGATCCTGTTGGAGGCATGCTCTCTTGCTCTCTCGGTCACAGAAGAGATAAACTTTTTTAAAAATTAAAATAAACAGAAGACAGTGAACTATGTCTAAGTACTTTCAAAGTTTGCATAGGTTTATAATTAAAATATTATATCAACCATATCAACCATTTATAAATGCAGGTTTATCCCCAGTATTTCTGGAACTCTACAAGGAGAGACGTTCCCCACATGGTAAGTGTCAGATTTGCAAGACAGAAAAGATAGGATCAGAAGTGGAAACGTTATTATTTACCCAATCAACTTTCTACTCTAAATGGAAATAGCCATTCATAAATCCCCTCTAGGAGCTTAAAGATAAACATTCAAGCCATTTCATTGAGCACATCAGTCTTCAGGCTAAAATAAAGAACACCCAGAGCCACTACTGAAGCAAAGAAATCATTTTATTCTTTCCATTTTATTACAATATCAAAAATAAGACCTCATTTCTGAACCCCACCCTGACTTCAGTCTGAAAGTATATAGAGCTAAATCCAAGAAGAGTGTGTTTCATTCATTCATTCAACAAGGATTTGTTGAGGACCCAGTATGTTTCAAGATCTCTTTGGGTACTTGAGATACACTAGAAACAAATGACAAAAGCACTGCCCATGCAGCTGATACTGTTTGCAAAGAACCAGCAGATGGCGTAATGGCTATGGCGTAATGGCTATGTCGCCAGACTCTCATGTAGCAGACCACAGTTGGAATCCTAGACACATTGGCTTGAAACTCATTCTGGGCACATGTGCGTACATGCCCAAAATCCCGAGAGAAGAATGGAGAAGAGACTGTGATGTAATCATACTGCTAGCAGAGTATTTCTTGCTGTCTCTGTCTTTCCAATGAGCGCACATGCCCTATAGCAAAACTCTCTGAAAATAAAGAAAAGGAAAGGAAAATCATCTTGAGCAATTTTTTAGTAAGAAAAAAAACTAATTTCTCTGCCCTCAGTTAGATATAAATGAGAGGAGCTGGCAGGTGGTGTGGTGGTTAGGGGTGCTGGACTCCCACGTGGTCAACTGCAATTCAAGCCCCAGACCTGGAGGCTTGCTTTCTCACTTTCCCTCTCTCTCTCTGGTCGAATTAAAAATAAATAAATAAATAAATAAATAAATAAATAAATAAGTAAGTAAGTAAAATTGAAATTAAAAAATTCTTAAAAAGAAAAGATATAAATGAGAAAATCCAGCCAATGGAATGACTCTCTATGTCCCTTTCAATGACTTCACATTTCAGGTAGATGACATCTAAGAAGTTCTTTGAATCTAGCTTAGGAAAAGCCAGCCCACTAAAAAGGCCTGCAGTGAGCTTCCAGAGAAGATTTATCTTTTGCATTGCTACATTCACCTATGTAACTTTGTGTTCTCTTTGTAGATGATTTTATGTAAAAGAAAGGAAACAGTTGCAAGTAATGATGAGAGCTAGAAAACCAAGTCACACAAAGAAAGAAACCAAAATACACTGTCAAGTGCACCACACTATGGTTCATGGAACATACAGTTTAGCACTGAATAAACCATTTTGGGTTTCACAGCATTCTTCCCCGAAGAGTTCCTTGAGAAACACTATATTCCATGAACAAAGAATATCATATTGTTTGTTTTCAAGGTGCCACTTAGCTTTGAAAGCATGCAGCTAATATTTTGCCTGTGGTATCCAATAAGCAGGTGTTAGAAAAGCAACATTCTTCAGGTTTTAAAAATAGTAGTATGTTACAACTTGGAAGGCAACTCCTAACATACCGAAAGCTAAGGATCAGTAGATTCTATTTAAAATACTACTTCCTCAGTGCTAAAGCAGCTTCACACATACCACTGTGCAAGATCAGATTAAATGCTTCCCAGAGATTCTCATACAATTGTCCCACCCTTTTTTTTGGAAAAAAAAAAAAGTAAAGACTAGATGATATTTTGCCAAAAAGATCACTCTTACCACCTTAGGCTTATAATAAATAAATAAATAAATTTTAAAAATTAAAGAAAAAAAAAAACCTGTGCTTGTCAAACTGCTACACATTTGATTCTCACAACACAATTTGATCCTACCTAGGAGGCAGACAGGGTGGATGGCATTATTATTTCACAGAGGAGAAATTAGAGCTGTTTTATACAGCTGTGCATAGTGTTCACCACACAAGGGCTCCCAGTCAAGTGGGCCAATAGGCACAGAGTTACATTCACCTGGAAGGAACACCCTTTCCTAATTTGCATAAATAGCCCTATTTACATTCCAATATCATCTATGTACTATGAGCTCACAGAGTGGACCCCAAATGATACCCCCTCTTTTTTTAAATTGCCAGAGTGCATGTGCTAGCCAGATAAAGACAGAAAAAGAGAAAGCACCTCCAATGGGTGTGGTCATGCCACAATCCCTCTCCCCCACTTTTCCATCTCATTTCGTATTTTCAGTATGCACACACATACACACACGGCATGTTTTTCTAATTATCTGGGTCAGGATAAAGCACAGTTGGCCATGTGAGCTCCAGCTCCCTAATCACTAGGCTACAGGGTCAGTCCATTGATACCTTTCCTAATTTGCACAAGGGCACAGTATAGGCTGGCCAACACTGTTTCTCATGGCCATACAACCTAACAGAGCAAGCACAGCGACTGGAATCCAGGTCTACTAAGTTCCAGCTCGTGACTTTAAATATATAAGGTGAAAATTCTCACAGCAAATGGATTTATTGACAACTCATAAATGTTCACATAGCTCCTCCCAGGAAATCTCTGGACAGCTTTAAGAATAAATACAAGGGACCAGCAGATGGCGCAGTGGTTTTGTCACTGGACTCCCATGCAGTCGAACGTGGTTCAAGTCCTGGACCCTGTGGCTTAAAACTCACTCTGGGTGGGACCAGCAGATGGCGTAATGGCTACGTCATTGTACTCCTATGTAGTCGACCGTGGTTTAAGTCCCAGACCCGGTGGCTTAAACTCACACCAGGCACGTGTGCGTGCATGACCAAGATCCCAAGAGGAGAATGGAGGAGAAGGGACTGCAGTGTGGCCATCCCCCCCTGGGGGGTGATTTCTAACTTGCTGTCTCTCTGTGTCTTTCTTGTGAGCACACATGTGCTATAGCAAAAACCTCTCAAATGCATGTGTGCCCAAGATCCCAAAAGGAAAATGAAAGAATAGGGATTATGGCATGGCCATCCCCCACTGGCGGGTGATTTCTCACTTTCTGTCTCCTTATCTCTCTGTTTCTCTGGCAAGTACATGCACCCTATAACAAAAACTGTCTACAAAGAAAAGTATAGTGTCCTCCACAGTGTTAACACTGTCCCACGGCTAGACCCTTAGTCTCCTCTTTCCCCAGCCCGGCCTTTCAAAACATCCTCCTTAGTTCTTATTCACTATATACCAGATACTCCACTAAGCATTTTATTAGAGTTATAACAGATCCTCACTTAATGCAACTATATATATATGTGTGTGTGTGTGTGTGTGAGATGAGTCAATTCACAGAATCATGAGAATTAAAAGCCTGTCATTGGGTTAGCTGCTAAATTTGGGGGTGATCTGCTTCATAGCAATAGTAATTTAAAAACTCTGTTTCCACCCTGACACTTCAAAGCTACACCATGCAGGTGAGCAAACACTGAGAGAAGCCTGGACAAAGGGAAAGTAGATCAGATAAACAGCATAACGAAGTTGATTCCAAAACAGTTTATGCCCGCAATCATTATCTGGGTGCCTACTGAGTGCAAGGCAGGAAAGCCTAGTGGTAAGGGGCATGGGATGAGATTCTGATGTGTTGAAATGTTGGTACACTTACCTACCTACTAACCATAGAAACTAGAAAAAGTTGCTGCAACTTCTCTGAATCTCTCTAGACGCTGAAACAGAAGACAATTATAACCACTTCTGATGTAATTAGAAGTAAAACTATAATGTATGGGAAGCACATGAGTGCACGCGTGTGCACACACACTCACATACACATGAGCTTACCTAGGAAACTCCTAGTCATGCTTCAGCCATCATTTCACAAATACTACTCCTTTGAGGGAGCTTTTCCTAAAGACCCCGCTCTCAGACTGCAGCAGTAGTTTCCTTGTGTAAATACACATCCTCAGTTCAAAATTTGTGTTCATTGGTTTATCATTTATTTACGTCAGTCTCACCTGCTACCGACCACCAGCTCCATAGCAAAGGATGTCTGTTCTACCTGCCTATCTTGTTCGAGCACCAAGTACAGAGCCTGGCATGCAGATGTTGAATGAACAAACATTTACCAAAACCTGCAAATCAAGCACTGTATAAATGAGAGGTTAGCACTGTGCTACTCTTTCTGCAGGAGTGAGTCCTGCCCTGAAAAAGCTTATTAGAGTCCATTGGGGAAACAAAATACCTACAAAAGTAACTATATGATATGAGAGGTGGTCAGTCAGGCCTAGACAAGGTGCCCCATGAGTTCTGAGAAGGCAAAAGTCACCTTTTAATGATGACAATCCACAAAGACTTCCCAAAGGAGCAGTGGCATTACAGAATCTGCACCCCAAACTGCCAGTCCTAAGAAACTCTAGGGTATTGGTTGCTCTTTTTTCAGGCCCAGAAGCCTGACCTAAGGCAAAGTCTACACCAGATCCATAATTCATTATTTCATGTATGTATTTGTCAGATTTTTATTGAAGACCTAGTAAGTGCTAGGCACTCTTCTAGGCACTAGAGATCAATGAACGTCGACAGCAAGCGTTCCCCCCAAAAAAGGCTCCCTCACAACAGCACGTTAACCAATATCCTACTCAGTCGGTCATCTGCAACCCCAGCAGGGCTGGAGAGCTTGGGTTCCTGAGGCCTGTGCCCAGGAACTAGACTTGCTGAGGCTGGGAGTGGATCATGGCATCAGGACTCTGGTGGGACGACTGTCTCTGTTTCTCTTACTTGATCTCTGTCTCTTTCACTCAAAGAAGAAATAAGTAAACTTTAAAGAGAAAAAAAATAGTAAGAATGTGACAGCTGAGGGTCAGGTTGGCACAATGGTAAGATAACTGGACTCACGTGGGAAAT